TCGGACAACTGTCGGAAAGCAAGACAAACACCCAAAGACAGACAAACACAGAATCTTTATCAAAGATATCAACCGGCTCAATTCAAGAATTATACTGCGCCTAGCAAACCTGTTTCAAAGTCAATCTCGTTCGCTCACATGACTACCAATGGAAAAGAGAAAATACCAGATACCCCTCAACCACAATCAAAAAAGATTCTGCCACGCCCTCCTATTAATAATAGTAAACCAAATTGGGAGAGTTCCCTCAACGATAGCATTCATGCACCGAATGATTGGGCAGATGAATCAGAACACCTCCACCCAAATCCTAAAGGCTATGCCAAACCCATTAACGATATCAATGACCGCGAACAACCTGATAGAATGGACCTTCTCATGAATAAACTAGACGCAGTCTCAACACAATTAGGTAGTCTTCATGAGGATCTTCAATTCACCAATGAAAGAGTTTCTAATATGGAAGCCATCCTTAAAATATATTCGACCTCTCCAAAACAAGCTGCCATTATCAATGCCCAACCCACGGACGATAATATGGAAGATGGAGACTACATTATACGACCTGGTTTTGACGTGTCTGAATCAGTTATTACCACACAAAACACCGACATTAAAACCCTCCAAGATGAAAATTCATACCTCAAACGCAACCTGCAAGCAAATGTCGACAAACTGAATGAGGCTCTTAAAGTTGTAGACATAATGCAACAACTAATGATTAATGCAGGACAACTTCACGAAAGTCGGCGTATTCCGGTAGCCAAATTAGAAAAACCTAATGATTTTTATGATGAAGTAGAGAATTCCACACCCCAACAATCCCAACTCTAATTATGAATAATACAACTATTGATCCTTTTAAGATAATACCTAATCGACCAAACACTTTACATACCCTTAACATCGTCACCCACAACGTTCTCTCACTTAAAGACACTGTCAAACAACAACTATTAATGAATTTATACGAACAATACAATGCTAATATCATTGCACTTCAAGATATCAAATTGACATATTCAACAGTCCGCGCCCTCAAACTCACCTTAGACAAATCCTATATTATCCTAACAAATACCCAATTAGATCCTAACGAACATAATACAGGAGTCGCATTAATATTTAAAAAATATATAGCAGATCACATTTTTAACCATGGTGGTTTCTGGGG